AGAGAGAAGAAGAGGAGGGAGAAGAAGAAGGTGAGTAAGGAGAAGTCGAAGGCGTTGTCATCGTCGTCGTCGTCATCTGATAGTGAGATCGAGGCGGAAGATATTGCTAGATGCATCAATGAATGCTGTCAAGATTCGTCACTGTTCAACTGTACCTGCGAGAAAGTAATTACGTACCTCATGAATCAAACCTCATCCTCCCCTCCTGTATACTACTTGGTGCCACCAATAGCTCCACCACCTACTTTCGTTGCTCCGCTTTGTAGCCCGCTACGTCCTATGCCTCCACCCCCTCCAATGGCAATGTCATTACCTCCACCTCCAATGCCGAACTGTCCTCAGTCCTCTGTAGGATCATCCCTCTCACAGACTGCTCATCCACTCCACCAACCTCCATCCACTCACTCAAACAACTTGTATGGAGCAGTTCCAATGGCTGTACCCCGCTTCTGTCCTCCCTACTCTCCACCCATCAACTCCCCACTCTATCAGTTCCAGCAGCCTCCATTCATGACAGGCTTTACTGCGTCCCATCGACCAGCACAGCAAGTTGCATCGTCAACGTGTAATCAGGACCCAAACTATGCACCACAGCCTGCTACCTTCCAACCTGAAATCAATCCACCTGCACCAAGTGTGAGTACCTGCAATCAGGACTTTCTACCATCACATCTATACTTCTCGTTGCAACCGCCTATCCAGGAAATTAAACTCGACCATCCAAGTACAGATATACCTCCAGCTTTTACGCTTACCTTTGCTGGACCTGTTGATGCTCCTGTCTGCGGCGATAACAAATCCAATAGTCAACCAAATTACACAACTGGTACATTCCTTTGTACGCAAATCATTCCATGACCTCTTGGGTTGTTAAACAAGTTGTAATGCTTTTAATAAAGATATCTATTTGAAACATAACTGCATTGATTAACGGCATTTGTAAGCTCGATGTTTTATGTAGCAAATTGAGGCGAAACTTAATTTCTGTTTTTGCTAAATTAAATGACTTTCTCTTCCTCCCAGACGATGTTTTGAACTATGCGTTCAAAAGTCATTCCTCCAGGGAAAAAATCCCGCTATAGACTTTAATGTAGGATCTACCGCTAAAGCAGCTTTTCTAATAGCACTGGTTATTTTTTACGTACCCGCATTTTAACCAGTCATCCCGACTAATGAATATGAGGCTATTGATTTTTTCCTTTGCTAGTAGAGTTTATCGTAACGTTATCCACGTTCCATTGGTTGACTGCCTACCAATCAACATCCAATTGTGTGAGTCAGTTAAACTCGCCAAACGGGTTTAGAAACAAGTGCTATTTCACTAACCTTGGCACGTTTCGGTGACTGATCTAATCGAGAGCTGGATAGACAGATCTCTGCCTTATGTGGAGCAATGCTCCCAGACACACTACTAAATGCTATAAAATAAATGCCAACATGATATATTTGGGAGAAAATGTATGACTCATGTAGTGGAAGTAGAACCAACTGAAGTCCTTACAGCTACTTTATTTGTAGAGTTGTGAGATGACTCAAGCACTTGCCGACGGCAAAATTATAATGCTGTTTTAAATTTGACTGCTGGGGACGAGGTTTAGTACACTGGAATTTTGCAACTGCAAAATGAATGTGATCGACCGTCGAAAAATGCTTAAAATGAGTTCATTTTCTGGTTTAATTTGTTGCAATTTAAACACTAAGCTGGACCATTAATGCGGAATTTTGGACAAGTACAAAGTGTCCAGCTTTAAAAAATGACAGGTAGTGAATGCTGTTGATTATCACGGAATAAAAACTGCCTACCACCGATCCTTTCGATAGACTTTTAACATCTGCCCTCCACTTCCAACAATCTTCCCTCCGAGCAATAGGAGGCTCAACGAGACTCGCATGGAATCTATGAATGTAAAATTTCAATGACGTATTTATCTTGCAGTGCGCAGAGCGCTTGCTTAAAACAGGATATGGTAGCAGTCAGACCTGATCTCCGGGCTAATGCACCAGCCCGTGCCATTCTTTAGGGTGACAGCACGTATTTTACCCTAGTGTCATGCCTTGTAGAGACCTCCTTAGAGCTCCATTTTGGTCATAGAAGTGGAAATGATGGGAATGCGAATGCTTACTACGAAAATAGGGCCTTGAGAGAATCTAAGTAGAAGTGGCTAGCCCACATTGAAGTAAGGGTAAAGAGGAAAGGCTGAATGGACGCTAAACTCACTTTCCTTGGAACCATGTCCGACTCAATCCCTGCTTTACACCGAAATGGAAACCTAGGGTTGACAAATTTACTGCACCTCAAAACGGACTGGAAGTGTGTACATTAAGTAATGTCTCTAAGAGGAATGATGTTGTGGAAATCTGATGACCTGAGGATGCCTGATCGTCGTACATCGTCGGTTACACGATGATAGTCGACATGGGAAGGCTGACCAAAGGGACGCCATGTCTCATGTCAATAATATTTGCCTTGCTTGTATGGCTTCCTGCGTCTGTTATGGCTTCCCAGCTCTTCTCTTCATTCAGAGGACACATTCTCTCTAAATCTTATGCCTTCTTACATCTCCAAGTAAGTGCTACAGTGTTACACAAATAGTCTGGCTTTTACCCTTTTGTAGGTCCTCGTTCAAAAGCGGCAAAACTACGTGCATTTTCACATCACTTTAGAACCGATAGAGAAAAACTGGTCAAGTTGTAGCCCTTCCCCTTCTCCTGTCCCAATCTGCTCGTTCTCCCCTCCCCCCTCCTCCTCCTCCTCCCGACCCTTCCCCCCCAAATCGATAAGGCCTCAATCACGTGCAGTTGTTGGACCTCCGCGTGCAAGTACGATGGCATTATAGAGTCTCAGTTATGTTTTTTTTTCTCCTGTTTTTAATGCCTCTCCTCACTGTTTACCTTATTTGATACTTAAGTTAGT